GAGGCAGGTTGTCACGCCAAGGTAGAGGCTAGAACAGCACGTCCAAAGGCCGCATCAGACTTCTGCTGGAGATCAAGTATATAATGCTGGATGAAAGTGGACGGCTGTGCCCAGGTGGCAGAGGCGCAGACGTCTGGAAGAGGTACGCCACGGAGGAATGTCATAGAGGTTGCCACTGCTCTGTGGAAGGCGAATCACCTTCAGGACTGGTTTGCGTGCCAGTTGATACATGAGGTGAATGGTTGAAGTGACCCATCTAGATATAGTTTGAGGCATCACCTGGCAACCTTTAGTTGGTGGTTGGTGACTTATGAAAAGTTGAGGTGAATGCCTGAAAGGTTGGGTGCATTGGACATAAAAGGCAAGGGCTCGCCTAACATCTAAAGTATGGAGGATTCTTTCTTGGGTTGTGGATGATGACAGGAAGAAGGAGAGAAGGATAAATGGCTGAGAGAGATGGATCTGAGATACGACTTTGGGAAGGAAAGAAATATCCATGGATAGTTTGACTTTGTCCAGAAAAAAACTGTAAATAAGGATAGACGTGACATAAGGCCGCTAGATCACTAGCTCGTTGAGCTGAGGTGATGATGACAAGGAAAACTGTTTTAAAGGTAAGTAGCTGTAGCTAAAGGTTGAAGCTAAAGGTTCGAAAGGAGCTTTAGTAAGTTGTTGCAATACTAGTGTTAGTGACCATTGTGGGGAAGGTTGGCGGGGATCTAGGTAGATATGAGATAGACCTTTAAGAAAACGTTTCAATGTTGGATGCTTGAAGAAATCAGCTGCTGGAGAGTTAGGGAGTGTGTTCACCTCCTCCTATGTCACAGAGGAGCCGCCACTTCACACTCACATACACTTATCACGCTGCCTCCAACCACACACACATATCTGACTCCTCAGACAACGGTATGGATTTTAAAAATAAAAATGATTGTTTATTGATACAACATAAGAGTTAGTAAATCACAGTATAAACTAAATAAGGCAATCAATATCATAAAGTATCCCCTCATACACTCTCTCACACAGACCTTCACTAACACAGTACCTCATAACCAGCACATGCCCTATGTCCCTAACAAGACCCTAACCAAGTCCCTCTCTAGTCCCTATCTGCCTCACACATCATTCACTCCCCCCTTATATACCTTAGCTCCACCCCCTGAAGTCCCACCTCCTGTCCTGCCATAGGCAGATGAACTCCAGCCATAGCATTGACAGGCAGGTGACATCATCGCAGCCGTCACAGGGAGCTGATAAGAATCTATGGCAGAGAGGTAAACTCTCAAGGAAGAGAGGGAAAGGCCGCTAGATGAGATGAAGCAAAAAATGTAGAACAGTAGCAAGTGATGGGCTGATAGCTGAAGAAGCTCCAGTGAAAGATTTGAATCTGTTCCATTTATACAGGTAAGCCTTTCTCGTGGAGGACTTCTTTGATTGATGGAGGACGTTCATTAGCGAGGCGGAATCCTCCAGGCTGCCACGTGCAGAACAGGTAAGTCTGGGTGGAGTACTTGGGCGTTGTTCTGCATGAGGAGGTGGGGCAGGCAAGAGAGGTGGTGAATGTGTGATGAGAGATTGTGAAGGACTGGAAATCAGGGTTGTCTCAGCCACCAAGGGGCTATAATGATTGCATCGGTTTTGTCTTTTAGGCGAACCATGGCCTTGTGGAGAAGCAGGAATGGTGGGAAAAGGTAAGTGAGGGTCTTGGGCCATCGGCCAAAGAATGCATCTCCTTGGGAGTGTTTGCCAATGCTAGCTTGGGAGCAGTATCGTTTGCACTTCCGATTCACATGGGAGATGAAGAGGTCAAGAGTTGGTTTGCCCCATCGTTCGCATAGGTGAAGAAAAACTGATTGGTCTAACTCCCATTTGTGAGCTTGAGAGTTTGTGTGGCTGAGGAGATCAGCCAAGTCGTTGTCGTGGCCGGCAACGTGTAAAGCCGTGAGAAAGATATGATGTGCTAGGCACCACTCCCAGAGGTCGACTGATAAATAGAGGAGACTTGGAGAGTGGGTGCCACCTTGTTTCAGAATATAGTACATCGTTGTGGTGTTGTCGATGGCAATGTGTACCATCTTGCCAGCGAGAAGATTGTTGAGCAGTGCTGAGTAGAGACAGAAGCATTGAGATGTGTACTGGAGTAGTTGTATCTTTAGCGATTGGTTTGTACAGATGATCGGCCGGTTCTATTGAAAGACAGTGAATTTGGAGATTAAGAGACTTAACCATATGGATCATAAGTTGGGCATAAGTTTGGAGGTCTTCCACCAGTGATGGTGGGTTGGCATGGACAAGGTTGGATTCTGGTGAGTCAAGTAATACTGACGCTGTCTGAGGTCTGGATCTGTGATCAGAATAATCGGGATTGCGTCGGGAGTTGACAGATTGTTGATCGACTTCGGTGTTGATAGGTTGAGTGTCATAGTATTGACGTTTGTGGCTCAATGTCGATGGAGGCAGCATGTCCATGGACATTTGTCCGTGTCGAGGATTTTCTATATCAAGAGATGTCATCCGAGTGTCCATGGACGTCGTTTGATATAGCTGAACATCAGTGTCGAACTTGGGGTCATAGTGATGTCGAGTTCGATGGCTTGATTCTATCGGAAACTGTGCATCAATAGAGGGACAGAACGAGTGTCCATGGACCAGGATGGATATCGAGGATTATTGATATCAGAGCCTGTCTCGGTGATGTCAAAATGGAGGATGTTGACGAGCTGGTAAATCAGTGGAGTATATAGATGCTGGAGATGCCAAGCAAGAGGAATGATTTCCCTACTCTGGATTAACGGGAAAATATTGGGAGGCTGGAGCTGTAAAAGCCTTGCGTGTAGAAGAAAACTGCTTGACCGTCCTGGGTGTTTTAGGTGCCAGGTAGGGAGCAGGTTGGAGTTGATGGGGGTCACAGTGATATGGCCGTTTTGACACCAATGGCTGTTGAGATTGAGGCCCACCATGAGAAGGTATGGTGGAGCTGGATAGAGCAACTGGCTGATTGGCCGTTGTGGTTTGTCTGGTCAAGCACTGGTCAAGGCAAATGGAAATCCGGTGAGATTGCTGAATGTGGGTCTGAACCACGCGTGATAAAATAGATGGCTCCGGAGACTGTTGGGGCTGATGTCTCTGAGGTTGCGGTGGACGATCTGATGTTACTGAATAAGGTATGGTCTCTAGTTGTTTGGAGTCGACCCTATCAGGTGAAGCAACTATGGAAGGATTGCTCAAAAGAACAGAGTGTTGAGGACTGGGAGGAGATGATGTTAATTGATCACTTCTGTCATCCCATTCCAGTGATTGGAAGCAAGGTTGATGAATGGGGATTCGCTCATCGTCAGAAGGCGAACCAATAGAGATTGATTCGGTGGTTTGTTGAGGCTGCTGAGAAATGACTGCAGCTTTAGATTTATGCTGTTTGGGTCTTTTAGGCAGAGAGGGCTCTGGAACTGAAGAGGCCTCAGTGGACATTTGACGTTCAGTGGAGGGCTTCGATATTGAGGGTTTTGGTATTGAGCACTTCAATTTATGGGTTTTTGAAATTTTAGACAAAGTGGACAGAGCGTCGGAGTGGGATGGTGTGGTTGATGGATGTTGTTTTGAGGCTTCAGAAAGAGCCTTCTCCATTGCTTTGGTTTGTGAGGTGGCCTTACAAGGAGGTTGGGCCATTTTGGTTGATTGAAGGGATTGTTCCCAAAGACAGAGTTTTTAATCTGGATAAATGAGAATGGAGGACTCCGTGCTTGAAGTTCTTACAATGCTGGCAGGAGGACGTCTGGTGTGCCTCTCCCAAGCAAAAAAGACACTTGGCATGACCGTCGGAGAGTGGGAAGATTGATAACAGGAAGGAACCAAGAATAAACTCTCTTTCTCTTTTATTCACAGAAGCAGAACTATGAGGCTCTCAACGTGGTGGCTGAAAGAAAACTGAAAGGGGAGCCTTGGCGCCAAGGGGGGAGGGGCCTTATTCTAATGAGTTTTTTTCGACTGCAGAAGCTCTAGAACTCTCTGATGAGGCTCCGCACAGGCGTGGATCACCCAGGGTATGATTCACAGAGGGCATGAAGAAGAATGAATATTACAGGCAGCATGATCTTTAAGACAAAATTCTACATTTGGAGACAGGACATTTAACTAAAGGAAATCTTGAAAAAAATACATTGGCTGAAATTCTGTTGCTTGTCACAGTTATGTTATACTAGCGTAGGCCCCACTGAATTAGTGGGGATATCGTGAGTCAACTCCTCAGTAAATTCCATTGATTCAAAATGGGCTTATTCTAGTTATGACTTACTTGAGCAGAATAAGTCACAGTCACATTACCACTTGAATCAAAATTTCAGAAATTGTTTAAGATTCCTTTCATCCATACAACAGGAAAGGTGACTCACTTCACATAGTCACTGTACATATGAAGAGAATGGTGAAGCACATTAAAATACTACTTCATATGAAGACAAGCACAGTACTATAGTTTATATTTTTGTTCCAGGAAAATCCTCTCCCCACTGACCCCAGTAAAGAATGATAAAAGAAGGTTTAAACTAAGAAGTATTCAAAACAGCTTGTTTGCTCAATGATGCATTTATAACAACATCAAACAAAACATTTGTGGCTTTAAGACTAACAGATTTGTATCCATCTGAGCTACTCGTTTACATTCTACTTCCTCCGACATGTCTTTAATTCTGTTAATCTTACAGGTATCACCACAAGCTGTTTTTGTTTTTGTTACACATGCTGAAACAAACTAACCTTTTAAAAAACTAACTGGCAAAATAATATATATATTGTTGTTGTACAGAAAGTGAGAACAAATGTACACAAAATGTAGCCCTCATGTTGAAATTAATACTAACCAAAATTAACTACCATTATTTTTCCACTTGATGTGCACATTCAATACAGCATATCTTTTAATGTTCTTCATCACTAAATGTCTTTGGAGAAGGCAAGATAATTTTGTTCAGAACAGAATACAGTATCATGTTAAGACTTACCTCAAAACTGACGGGTATATTCCGCTTCAAAGCAATTTCAAACACTATGCTTATCTCTGACTTGTTTGCATCTTTTTCCTCTTCCATTTCACTACCTGACTCTCTGTTCTGGGCAAACAAAATGAGAAACTTCTATCAGAAAAACTTTCTAAGGACAGCTCGCCAATACATCATTTAACAAGTATATTACATTTCCTCAATATTTGCATAGAAAAGCTTACTTCTCCTACAGCAGATTGGGTTTTTTTGGGGGGGTACTTTAAAAATAAGGGACGTGGTGGCACTGTGGGCTAAACCGCAGAAGTCTGTGCTGCAGGGTCAGAAGACCAGCAGTTGTAAGATCGACTCCACACGACGGAGTGCGCGCCCGTCACTTGTCCCAGCTCCCGCCAACCTAGCGGTTCAAAGGCATGCAAATGCAAATAGATAAATAGGGACCACCTCGGTGGGAAGGTAACAGCATTCCGTGTCTAAGTCGCACTGGCCACGGAAGATTGTTTTCGGACAATCTCTCTATGGCTTGGAAACGGGGATGAGCACCGCCCCCTAGAGTCGAACACGACTGGACAAAAATTGTCAAGGGGAACCTTTACCTTTACCTTACTTTAAAAATGTACTCATTTTTATGTAATTAGTTGCATCAAATATTTATTGCATTTATGACCTGTCTCTCTACCAGGAGCTCTGTGAGATCCATAAGCTTCTTATTCAGCAGTCCGTACAGACAGAGTCCAAGACCTGTTTAGAATGTCTAATCATGTGCCTCAGGCAAGCCAGTGAAGAAAAGATCATGGAAGAAATGCACTGGGTTGCTGCATCACAGAATTATGTCCTATCAGTTTCAGTGGGTTTACTAAATATGACTAAACCTAGAACCAACCCGTTCATTTGGTCTCCAACTTAACACATGGTAAGCCCTAAGGGTTCCAAAGTATCTATCACTTTAAAAGCCTACTGATTTAATTCACTAATTAAAATCAGAGAGAGATTCTGGTGAAGATTCAAAGACTGTGAAGTTCCTCATATGTTGTTCCACTCAGTCTACAGCATGCAACTGGTGCACTACGAGATGCCTTTACCCTCTGAATCATTACCCCTCAATTTATACCATCTGCATGAAAACAGACACTATAAACTAAGGGGAGGCTAAACCAGGACAGATGAGCTCTCTTGTGTCATGCATTGTCACCAGTACTGAGCAATAACAACTCTTGAGATCCTTTCACGTAAGCTCCCTCACCACCAACAGAAAAAATAAAGGAAATGGGTGGATGGGTGGACGGATGATTGGTAGTTCCAAAAGATCCATGGCTTACGTGTGATTCTCATCACAGCAGTAAAGCTTTTGGCTATGTATTCCCTTCTCAGGCCTCACTTTGGCTGCTTGGCAGGAATAATTTGGCAGCTGTACAGCACTTCTTTTCATGAATGCAGGTTCGTGTTCCCATGCGCGCCTCGTTCTCCTCACTGTGTTTTCCCCAGTAGTCACACAGATTCAAACCCACAAAGTTTCAGTGCCCATTGTTTTAGGACTTTGAATCTCCAATCCAAAGGCACTCTGAAGACTCCTATTTATTTAGTGCAGAGTTTGTGTCAAGCGTGCCTCACCTTCCCTCACACTGCTGCATACTGCACCAAAATCTTTCACCTCAACTGTTCAGTTTCTCATTGAAAGTTTTGTGACTGCTTGGACCACCTGCAAAACCAGCTGCATATGGGGCAATACCAGTTGTAATCACAAAGTCTGTGGGCTACACGGTACTGTACTCAGATTCCAGGACTATGTGGTACTTCAGCTGGAAAGGGCAAAAATCTAGGCTTCGGGGGAAAATAGTACAAGCCTTGCAGTGCTGTTATGAGACTGACTGAGATAATAAATCAGATTTTAACGAGCTGAACAAAATATTGGATGACATCTTATAGTCAGAAATAATCAAAAGGAAGAGAATGCACAATGAATAGGAGCTTCTTAAAAGGGGTATCCAGAGGACAGAAGCTTTAAAAGGAGTATGTATAGAAAAAAGAAGAGGAGTGCAAGTCAACAAGAGCAGCCAATACCCTGTTTCCCCTAAAATAAGACCTAACCTGAAAATAATCCCAAGTATGATTTTTCAGGATGCTTGTAATATAAGCCCTACCCCAAAAATAAGCCCCAGTTAAGTGAAAACCTGCCCTCCACCACTGTGCAGCATTGTGCAGCAACCAGAAGAAGATGACATGACTGTATTTGTTGTACATGAAAAAAATAAAACATCCCCTGAAAACAAGCCCTAATGTGTTTTTTGGAACAAAAATTAATATAAAACCCTGTCTTATTTTCGGGGAAACAGGGTAGTTGTACACAGAAGAAGCCTTCATGGTCAGATGAGCTGCACCCAAGGGTTCCAAAGGAACTTGCAGATGTCATCTCAGTCTCTGACAAAAGATGAGACTAGACACGGGGATGAATAAAAAAACAAATGGTGAATTCATTAAAAATAGCTGATTCATTAAATATTCATCCTTTCATATTCGTCAGTTCCATAGATCCCGACGAATACAAAGGAATGAATATTGCCCCATTTTTATTTGTTCCCCATAGAAAGAGAGGGAAAGTTAGCCTTCCCTCCCTTCCTATGGCCTTTTCTTTCTGCCTAGGGGCCTGCCGATCAGCTGATTGGCAGGCTGATAAGCCAGCCAGCCCCACAGCCACCCACCCCCATAGCCTATCCACCACCCCTTCCTCTCCCTACCTTAATGCTGCCACCATCCGCCACCGCCTGGCGCCGTCATCCATCGTGGCCGCAACAGTCTCCAGCTGGCCTCCGCAGCCATGGCCTGCAGAAAGGGACATTGGCTGCCCTTCACAAATATGGCAGCTGTGGCTTCATTAAGGGTAGGAAAGCTGCAGCCTCCATCTTTGCAAAGGGCAGCCTGGATTCCCTTAGCCTATCAGGGGCAGCGGTCCAGCAGCAACGGCGATGCGGCCACCAAGGTAGGGAGGTGGCAGGGGCGCAGGCTGCAGAAGTGTGTGTGTGGGGGGGTCAGCTTTGTTTTTTAGACAGCTAACACCCCCCACAAACTTTGACGGATCACAAAGCAGGACTCGCCAAAATGGTAAGTCGTCCCTATCTCTAGATGAAACTCCAGCAAACCTGGAGATGGGCAAATAGTATCCCCATCAAAAGTGGAGAAAAAGGAGATCTGGCCTATTACAAACCTGTCAACTTGATGTCTATACCAAGAGAGATTGTAGAACAGACGGTAGCTGGCCTAACAAGATCAAGCATGAATTTCTCACTAAGTCATGCCTGATTAATATTACTCCTCTTTTTTTGACACAGCTACAAATCTGCGGGTCACAAGTGTTCTGGCCACCACAGTTCAATGACGATATCAACAAATTGGAACATGTCCAGAGGAGGGAGATCAGAATAGTAACAGTTCTGGAATCCAAGCCCTATGTAGAACAACTGATGGCACTGGGTATGGAGGTGGACATGATATGAAAGCAATCTTCAAATTTGAAGGACTGTATGCTTGAGATCTTAAAACCTTGTTTTCTGAAGCTGGATGATAGAACCTAAAGGAATAGACAGAAATTAAAAGAAAAGGGATTTTGACTAAACATTGGGAAATGTTTAGTCAAAATCCAGACAATAACGGCAGAACAGATTACAGTGGTGCCTCGCATAGCGAGGTTAATCCGTTCCGGATTAACCCTCGCTATGTGAAAACATCGCTAAACGGAACATAAAAACCCATTGGCACGCATTAAACATCGGGGCCCTAAACTTACCGTTCAGCGAAGTTTCCTCCAGAGCGGCAGCCATTTTTGCGCCCTCGGTAAGCGAGGGGAGGGCGCGAAAACACTGCACGCGGCCATTTCGGGCATCCGGCGGCCATTTTAGAACAGCCGAAGAGCTGATCCGCGGGCATTGCAAAGCGAAGATCGGTAAGCGAAGCGCTTACTGATCGTCGCTATGCGAGTTTTGCCCATTGGAACGATCGGTATGCCTCCGCATTAGCGATCCCGAAAAGGGGATTGCTATGCGGATTCGTCATTGTACGGTGCGCTCGTTAAGCGAGGCACCACTGTACCTGTCTTTCATTGGTGACTTTTATGCAGAGGCTGAATGGCTGCTTGTCAGAGATGTATTAGCTGTGGATTTATTTCTTTGGTACAAAGGCTAGACTACAGGTCCCTTTCAGCTCTTGTTGTTTTTGTTGTTTAGCCGCTAAGTCGTGTCTGACTCTTCGTGACCCCATGTACCACAGCACCTTAACAACATCATCTTTTAAGTTTTTAAATAGTTCATCCGGAATGCCATCACCTCCACTGGCCTTGTTGTTGTCCGGGACATCCAAAGCTTTCTGGTATAATTCCTCTGTGTATTCTTGCCACCTCTTCTTGTTGTCTTCTATTTCTGCTAGGTCCCTACCATTTTTGTCCTTTATCATGTCCATCTTTGCACAAAATGTTCCTTTAATATCTCCAGTTTTCTTGAACATTATTTTCTATTATTTTCCTCTATTTCTTTGCACTGTTCATTTAAGATCTCAGTAAGATCTTCAGCTCTACAATGCTTTAATTCTGTCTGATTCATAGTGGTAAACTAAGCATCTCCCCCTTTAGGGAAAGAAACAGCTTGCCATCATGGTAATCTACATTTAGAATACTTCACAGGGAGATAATTATGCTGTCTTTTGTGCGTGTCTGTATGTTCTGTGCTGTCAAACCGGAACCAACTTGTAGTGACCCTTATAGGTCTTTCAAGTTAAAGGAGATATTTAAGGGGTGGTTTTACCAGTTCCACTCTACCAATTAGTTTCCATGGTTGAGCAAGGATTCAGACCCTGGTCTCCAGAGTCCTAGTCCATCATTCTATCCACTGTACCACACTGGGAATCTGTGGTATCTGTGGTATGCCCTCTCACCTCACTGAGATCCATTTCACACGTATACTCTTTTAAACTTTTTTTTTAAAAAAACACTGGATATCCAGATCATGGATCTTCTGTATCTTCTCTAGCTTCACAATTTTATTGTTCCAAACCTTCAAATCTGAACTGTGGATGTGAAACAACTTTAATTTATTCATTTACCTTTAAGTTTATAAATTGTTTCCTTTCTAGAATAATGAAAGTGTTGACTCACACAACTGTAAGACTGAACAAACTAATGATATACCAAGGGACTAATAGACTGAATGCTGAAAACCATCTGACAGCTGTTCAGAAGCTGAGTCAAAATAACTTTGTGATCTCATTCACATGCACAAAATTTCATATCAGAATGTCATCACTGGGAAAAATTTGGAAGTACAGTGGTGCCCTGCATAGCGGTTAATCCGTCCCAGGAAAAACGTCGCTATCCAGAATCATCGCTATACGGAAATAAAAACCCCATAGGAATGCATTAAACTCTGTTTAATGCGTTCCTATAGGGGATAAACTCACCACTGAGTGGAAATCCTCCATAGCACCGCCATTTTCGCCGCCTCGGTAAGCGAGGAAATCGTGCGAAAACACTGCGGGTGGCCATTTTGTTGATCCGGAGGCCATTTTGGAACCACCGATCAGCTGTTTTAAAACATCGCAATGCGAAGATCAGTAAGCGAAACGCTTACCGATCGTTGAAATGCGATGTTTACCCTATTTAAACATCACAATGCGATCGCTTTTGCGATCGCAAAATCCATATCGCTATGCGGATTCGTCGTTAAACGGGGTGCTCGTTATGCGAGGCACCACTGTATGTGGAAATAGATTCCTGAGGGTCGACAGTCCAGTCTAGCTAATCTAAAATCGCTATGGATGATTTTTATTTAAAAAACAAGGGATTCCCATAACTCTTTGGTTATGGGGAACAAAAGTATAGAATTCAGATCTCCTCTCCTGGCTGTAACAAAATTATTATTCTCTAATAGCACCTGAAATATAAGTATATTTCTCCTTTTGCCTAGTAACATTTTTTAAAATTTCGCCAGTACTACAACAGCAATTAAAGGTTCATTATTAAATATAATCCTCTTTTCTGTCTAGTAACAACACTATTATTTGCCCAGTGCTCTAACAGTAACGGAAGGTTTACTATTACAAATAATTCTCCATTCTACCCAATATTTCCCTTGTTTTGTTTGGAGCAATTGATTAGTACATTCCACTATTACAATATCTGAATGGATAGTGTGCGGTGGATAGTTACATTCTGTCAGTGATATGATGCAACTCATGATCCAGTATTGTTCAATGTCTGGCAATTTTAAAGAGAGTCAGAGAGAGAGAGAGAGAGAGAGAGAGAGAGAGAAGAGAGAGAGAGAGAATGCAGATCATAATGAAAGCTGGAGTAGATTCAGATTAAGGAGAAATGAAAGGTGGTAGAAAGACAGGAGTGTAGGGCAAATTTTACTATATATGTATATCTACTTAGTTTACACTGGAAACCAAACCGGGGAGAGCGGAGGGTTAACGAGGCTGGAGTCTCTGATTCCAAAGGGGGGAGGGTTTAGTTTAGTAGAGGGTTTAGTTTAGTTTTTCTTTTTTATTATTTTCTTTTTTTCTTGCTCTATTTTTGTTTTTTATATGTTGAATTTAAAAAAAAGGAATAAAAATAAATAATACTTAACAAAAAAAGAAATCTACTGGGTAGCACATATGAACATGTGTCGTGTCTGAAGAAGTGGATTGTACTCCAGGGCAGACGACACCAAGATAAACCTGTTAGTCTTAAAGATACCATGATACTTTTTTTGCTATACTGTCTAGAAAGAAATGATAATACGACCTAATAGCAATTGCTTCTGTACTGGAAAACTCTCACCTCCATATGGTGAGTTTTGCCATACATATACAAAATACATATACATAAAAAGGGGCAGTCATAAAGGTTTATATGGGCATTGGAACCAATGATTCCAGGCTAGTGGAGGTTCACAATCCCCAATATGATGCATCATTTTCTTAGCAGTCCTCTCTTGTTTATTAGCCCTCCGCAATTTGATATTCTCCACCTCTTTCTAAAGGTAAGGCTTCCTTTATTTCTCCTTTTTAACTGAGATGCCAAAGAGAAGAAACTGGAAGGAGGTGAGGTGCCAACCCCACTTCAAGTTCAGTTTAGCATGAAGGGAGCTGGATCAAATGCAAAACATGGTCAGACTTTCCAAGAGACAGAAGTTCACACTTCAAAACAGTTTCAATTCGAAGACTTGCATTCTACCTAACAATGATTTCCCACTTAATATTTAAAGACTCCTGAAATGTCATTCCTAAATGTCAATCTAAATTTCAGATTCTATTAATTTGAGCTAATTTTATTCATTTGTGAAGTTGAACAGGGGTGCCTAAACCAATAACAAGCTCACTTTCTCAAAGTACAAAGCAAAAAAGAATTTCCCCACAACAGTTCTGATGTGTTTCAAATTTGGGCACCAATATTTGACGATAGCTTCTTGTTATGGCAGAGTGATATACCGCTAACCTGAGGTAATTTGGGTGGAATTGGTTCATTCTGAAGAACTTCAAGTGCCTTCATTGCAGCATTGTGTCTAGCAGCTTGGCGAGTCTTCCCTTCACCAAAAAACTCACGCTCACCCACAGTCAACTGGACATAGAAAATCTTAGGCACTGGGCAGTGATATCTAGAGGAAAACATGATTAAGTTAATTCCCTCTAAGCCAAATGCACACACCAAACAATTTGTGGATACTGTATGCAAATAATTTTTGAAATATACATGTATTAATAAAGACAAGGGCCCAGCCCACAGTTATGTCATTCAGGTAAGTGAATTATATTGTGATTAATGAAACAGGTGCTGCTACCCTGTTTCCCTGAAAATAAGCCCTAACCTGAAAATAAGCCCTAGTATGATTTTTCAGGATGCTCGTAATATAAGCCCTACCCCAAAAATAAGCCCCAGTTAAGTGAAACCCCACCCTCCACCATTGTGCACCAACCAGAAGAAGAAGAAGCATTACTGTATTTGAATAAATGTAGATTGTTGTACATGAAAAAAATAAAACATCCCCTGAAAATTAGCCTTATGCATTTTTGGAGCAAAAATTAATATAAGACCCTGTTTTATTATCAGGGAAACACGGCATTTAACCCACCATCAGGTAATACAATGTGCTTTAAGTTTAAATGTATTTTTAACATAAAAAATTACAAATGGCAGGCCCCTTAATCCTGCCTTCCTCTTCCCCTGTTTCCTATTGCTTTTTGTCTGCTGAACTTCACACTGTAAATGCCTTGGCGGCAGCATCTAAACTATGCAAAAGAGAAGAGGGCACTTGAACTCATTAAAGTTACCTGTTCCTACTATATAGCACCATACACACTCATAGTCTTGTACATATAGTAACAACAATACTGAAGATAAACTAAAAATAACATGGCTGACAAATGCCAATTTTGAGATCTGGCAATTTGAATTTTAAAAAATGACTGCAAATTCTCTGTTCCAAACTGTTCCGCTACAAAGTTACTTTTCTCCCCATATAGTACTTGGCATTGCAAACATATACAGTGGTGCCCCACAAGACTATGTTAATTCGTTCAACGAAAATCGCTGTCTTGTGAAAACACTTTCTTGCGAAATGCGGTTCCCCATTGGAATGCATTGAAATCCGTTTAATGCGTTCCAATGGGGGGAGATCGTCATTTTGCGAAATTCACCCATAGAGAAACCATTTTGCGAAGCGCGGATCAGCTGTAAAAATCGTCTTGTGAAAATCGGTCCTGAAAAAAACTCGTCTTGCGAAGCACGGTCTGAAACATCGTCCAGCGGAAATCGCCCATAGGAAACATCGTTTTGCGAAGCGCTATAGGGATCGCAAAAACTCATCGTCTAACGAATTAACCATTTTGCGAGGTAATCATCTAGCGGGGCACCACTGTAATTGGAACCTCATAGCCAGAAGCAATCTGAATGGAGCTTATGGGAAATGGGAAAGGTGCAAGCATACAGCGGGTTAAGTAACTCCACATTGCTTCAATGCAAACCTTTGAACAGTGCTTAATGGTGGGGTGGGTGTGGGTGTTATGAATCATGTAATAACAATTTCTTCTCTGAGATACAGTGTAACATTTCCTTATATATAAAATAAAATGCCTCCTCTAGAAAGCTACCAGTAGCATGCATGTGAGACAACAATCTCCATGAGACAGATTTAATGGATGAATAAACAACTTTATGTCCTACACAAATTAACTATGAAGTAAGCTCTTCTATGTTCCCAGTGGTTTATACCTAGAAGGGGCATCTACCTATTATTTATTTTACTTTATTTAAAATATTTTACCCCACTGTTCTCCTAAGAAAAGGACCCAAGACGGCTTACATAACTGAATAACAATATTTAAAAACAAAACAATGAACAAAGGTGGTGTTCATCATTAAAAGTCAATATTTAAAGCTAAAAACACTAAGTACAGAAATATTAAAAAGGAATAAATGAATACCACTCTGAGAAATGGGAAACACAACAAATACTAAAAACATCGTCAAAGCAGTAATGCATAATTTTAGATGGATTGTTATGCCTTAAGCAGTCACTGAGGGAAAGCTTGCCTGAAGAGAAAGGCCTTCACCTACTTGCTTACTTATCTGTCTATACTCTGATAATGTGAAAGACACACACAAGAATGGGAAATGAACTAACAAAGTAAAGAAGTTGCCTTTGTTTCAGGCATGATGGAACAGAACAAGAATATTAAAAGCTAAAGTAAATATTCTGCTTTTCGTTCTTGTTACGTAGCTTGATACCATGTCGGTGAATAACTCTGCAAGGATTATAGCTTACCTTCAGTGAAACATTTCCATTTTTCTATATGTATCACATTACTGAAGTTCTCAATATTGTATCAAAACCTGTGACAAGATTTTTGAATTATCTGAGTGCAAACAGAAGAACCGATTCTCTTCTCTTTCACTGCTCTGTCATGAATAGCTAGTAGAACAAAACGATGTATCACTTTGCTATCATAACTACCAAGGCAGCACATGTAGGGTTAATTTGCTGCTACCAGACTTTGGAACTCCCTCCAACAGGAGGCCAGGCTGGCGATCTTTGCTGTCATTCCACAAGCAGACAAAGACCTTTCTCTTCAGGCAAACTTTCCTTTAGTGACTGGCTCCTGAGTGGGTTTTTTAAATGGATTCTTGTGCCTTAGTGCTTTGAATGTACTGTACTTTTGGTGTTGCTTCTGTCTACTATTTCTCAGCGTGGTAGCCTTTTCAATATGTGTATATTTGCTATTTTTAGCTTTAAATATTGTCTTTTAATGACGTAAGCCACTTTGGGTCCTTTTTAAGGAGAAATGTGGTGTAAAATAATTTAAACAAACAAGCAAACTCTATGCTCAAAAGAACAAAACACACTGTAAAGTGTGAATTGTCCTATATACTATTTTAAAATGTTATGGCTGAGTGAAAATTTGACCCCAGATGATCTGTGTACTAACTAGTCCTGATATCTCTACTACAGCTGGGTCCCATGTGGTGCCCTGAAGTAGACCAAAACTACCTTACATTGAGGCACGTCTCAGACCAATTAAGGCCAGTGCTATCAGCTCCAACTGGCAACAGCATTCCATGATTTTATTGAAAAATATTTTCATAGTCCTAGTATAGCTGGTGAGAATCTGTAGCTCTCCATGTTTTTGGATTGTGCCTACTATCATTCCTCACCAGCGGCCATGCTGGCTGGGATAACAGGAGTTGCAATCCAGCAACATCTGGAAGGCCACAGGTTTAACCAAAAGTATTATTGTATACACAGAAAAATACAGTATATTACTGAGCAATGTTAAAAAGAAAGATAGTTCATGAGTGCCTAACAGCACACTCCTATGCATGTCTGCTCAGTAGCTCCCATTCTCAGGTTACAGTAAATGTGTACAGTACAGGACTAGGCAGGCCTGGCACAGGGTATGGTTTGGGAAGTTTTGGAACTATATTTCTACACACTTTTACCTGGGAGTAACTGAACTTAAAGAGAACTTACTTCTGAGAAGATATACCTAGGATGTGTCCCCTGGAGCAACTTCTTATAGCCCTTATATTTTGGAATAACATTTATTATGAAGAAGGACAACAATACCTCAGGCACAAAATCAACTGGAATGACGGAAAGGTTCATAGAAGATGTGCTGGTAACTACAAGGGCATTTACATGGACAAACATTATGTGTACAATGTACCAAATGTATTTAATATAAGGTTTGCAAATGCCATCTAGTATGCTGGAAATGTTAGTTATTAAGGCAGATACCTATTTTTAAGAGACCATCAATACCACTTATGAACAAAGATAATTAAAGTAGAAATAAGCTTTTAAACTATGACCCAGCATGCACAATATCAGCAGTGAGTAAATGTTTACAGCTAGTTCCTAATGTCTAAAAACAGAGTTCATAACACGCCTTAAGTTGGTGTGATCAGGCGCCACTGTAATTAAATAAATCACTATGGTCTGTTGACAATTACAAAACTCATTTTGGTTTGCCACAGAGGCAAACAAAATTTTGGTTCATTATAATTTTACTGGAATATGATGTCATAATATATAAGCATGCTGAAACAATCTGTTTTTTCCTAAGCCAAAATATTAATTGCATACTAAGAATCCCCTAGGACCTCTCCATGTATGGCCATCAAATATACATGAAAACATATAAAGAATTACTGTAATAAGTAATGTGTCTGTGCTGCATTCTTGTATTTTTGCTGATCCCTGCTTATTGCATGAACATTCCTGGAAGAGTACATGCCTTTACGAACCTCTTAGCAAAACATATAACACAGCAAGATGATAGGAGTTCTGTAAGTTTGATTTCCCCTTTGCTGTACACACTATATTTCATAATTTGCACAAAAAAGCTTATATTAAGGTATAGTGATTGGGTCCTTTCACGACTTTGTTAGCTTTCTACTAACTTGCAGTGAGTCAAAATATTTTTTGGTACAATGAATGGACCTTTAGGACTTCCAACAATTTTGACAAAGAACAAAACATGTTTGCCTTTTCACCACAAAATCACTAATACTCACATCTGCCATAGGTCTGGGGTCACTGTTGGATGTCCTCCAGCTTTCAAGACATAATGATTTCTTTACCTACACAGATAACTAGATGTAGCCATGTAACAATATAACTGAAGGTAAATGAAGCTGGTAGGTAGAATGAGTGCATTTTCAGAGTTAAATTTCTCCTCAGTGGCACTGTCACAGTCAACTTGTTCAATTACTTCTAAAACTAGACATAGGGGTGGGGGAGGGCATGCCCAGACTATCTAGTTATTTAAGGTTCAACTTTCCGAGATAATAACCCCAAGCTATTATCTTGGGGTCTCGGTGCATAAGCTATTAACTTGTATTATATGAACTGAAGCCAACAGAAAATTGCTTAGAAAATTTAATTTCACCAGTGTACTACAACTGAAATTAGGATTTTTTTCCCCAGCCTGTATTCTAAGATTGGAAAATAGCCCATTTTATAAATGCTTAATTCCTTGATTACATGCTACATGCATGCTGAGGTTTTTGTATGATATAATCTACCTGAGCAACTGGCTCTGACCATATTTCTGCACCTATTTTGTGCATGAGATACACTATCAGAGTTAGGATATGTTA